CAAAAACCGCCTTACATGCAACAAGTCACCTATCAGTACAACAAAGGTGAGAACACCTCCACAAGTTATCACAGTGTAACAGAGGAAAACATATCAGCCAATTTCATACAACGGCAAATCTAATGGCAGTCTTGAACATCCCTTGACCACTATCCTCAAAAATTGCACATTTCAACAAATGAAATAATTTAGAATAAAGCCAAGCAGCATCCTTCTTTAACTATCAATACATTGACAATTAGGGTGGATGAGATGTCCAGAATGTTTGGGTGTTTTTTTTTTCCTCCAGCTTACTAGATTTTCCAGAGTTGTTTCAAAAGGAATTTGTGTAAGAAATGTTAACTTGCAGCGTTATCAGGCCAAGTCCTTTTCTGCAATTCAGATTGACCTGTCAACACTATAGAAGTCTCTGTAGTCAAATACAAATCCCAGTAAAGAACTATTAAACAAAGACCATACCTTAAGTATTTACTGATGACATGCAATGGAATTAAGCAAGCAGTAACAGGACTCCCATTTATATTCGGAGCATTCAGAGACTCTTGCAGTTCAGTTGGGGTACAGGACTGGAATTTCACAAAATACCAGTGAATAGTTAACATTCCCTCCCCGTTTGACTTGACGCGCAAAGTAAGTTTCAAAACAATGCATCTAGGTCACTCTTTGTATAAGCAAAATGCTAAGAGCAGAACTGATTTTCAGAGTTGCTGAACACTCAAACTCATGTCAAGAAAATATACAGATACCTCTCGCAATATGTGGTCATTTTGTTTTCCTGCACACCCAGGTTTAGAAAGGCAATTCCGTAAGAACTCTTTGATCACAATGAAACGAATTCTTCCACAGTGCTATGCACCTCCCTAGCTTAGGAAAGTCGCACCTTGTATTACCTTTTCTAAGAGTGAACATTTTTGTTTTAATACACAACATCCTGGTTTGCATCTAAGCCATAACGACATCTTTAAGCTATGACATCTGATGAAGGGCACACACTTAAACTATGGAATTATATGGAGAAAGCACAGTCCTGACATTCTGAAGCATCTGGATGCTTTTATGTCAAGGGTCTTTTTTGCAGGTTATATTAATTTCATGAGAACAAGAAAGAATGACATAGAAGCTCTGCTTTGGAGATCTGTGTAAGTGCGCATCAGTTCTGGATGAGACTAGGTCCACAAGTCTGTCCATTAAAAAAAAAACAAAAAGATTCTTACAAATACCAGTCCTGACTCAAACCATGAAGATAAAAGCAGCAGACCTACACAGACTGTATGTGTGCATGTGCACAATGAGTCAAATGGAAATCATGATACCTAACAAGTCACACTGCAGCACTGATCTTTGTAACTGCAAGTCTCTGGTGACCTTCTATGCATTGTCCTTTACCTTTTCAGTTTCACACAGAAGCTGTCACATACTCGGCAAGGAAACACTCAGCAAGGAAATATGGACATCACTGGCAGTGAGTTACTGTGAAGACATCAGTTCGCATTTCAGAGATGGCAGGGAGAGAACAGACAATACTTCAGCAAGGAATTATTGCTGTACCACTGAATTCTGTTAAACTCAATAAGCAATGAGAAGTTATGCCTAGGGTAGAAGAAAGGTTAATGGATATGACTTTGCTTTTTCTCTCCCCAAAAGGCTCAGCTTCAGTGTTTTCCAACAATCTCAGATTCTGAATTCCAGTACATTGTATTTTAGAATAAACCAAAAAATAGCCCTGAGAGTGAACATACTTTTAAGAGCTGCTATTGCTTTACATAAATCAAACACAGCAATCATTTACTTCCACAGTACGCAATATTTAATTTTCACTCTCTTTTTTGCTCACTTGGGATATGTACGTGCAACCAAGAATTTCCTTCCAAGATATACATACTCAAGGATTCCAACAGTCATAGCTGCCACCACAAACGTTCACTACAACAATGACTTCCTTTGACTTACTTAGAATCCACAACTGGAGGAACACCATTTAGTACATCTCAGAAATCAACTGTCAGCATTACTGAACACCACCACTAGCCTTTAAGTATGGCTAGAAGTGTAAAATACCAAGAAAACAAGAGTATCAAGTGTGTCAAGTTGTGCATAAAAATAGACCTTTAATTCTTGTTAAGCTATAAAGTAGGCAATCAAGGAACTGACTAGGTCTATGCATAGTTAGGATTAAAAGTATGCCAAAAGAACTTGAACTCTTTCAGTAAAACTGTGCTTGAGTAATGCATGGGTCAATCCCTGCAACAAACTGAATATCCCACTCTATACATAAAAGAATTTCTAAAAAGCTCCATGTACTCTCAAAGCCATTCTGAAACTGATTTAAATACTTTATCTAATTGCTCTGCTATGGCACAAGATAGCACATAAAAAGTTTAAGGCTAATTTTTGTATGCACATATGTAAAAGCTGGTCTTGGAACAAGAACTGTCACATTTTCTTAATTCTGAGTCTTTAGTGTGGACTCATAATAAAGCAGAGCTGCCACGGCAATAGTACAGTTGTTCTGCATATAAAAAAAGACTGAATGTTGTCCTGAATGCAGCTTGTTTTTATAAAAAGCAAAAACCTCACACATTTACATTTGGTTTTTATCAGAGCAGCTCACTAATTTGTACAGTACATTGTCCAATAACATACAATGTAAACTACCACAGAGATGCTCAAGTACTACAACAATAAGTGCAAAAGAAACTCCTAGGGTAAGAAAGCCCACTGCTATTTGGGAGAGTCACTCTGTGATGAAAACATCAGAAAGCAGTTTTGGTGAAGTCAGTTAAGTTTCAAGGCTGTAATAAAGGCTATTTGTTAACTTTAGCCCTTTGGTTCTTAACCATTCCGTTAAGATCTCCTGATAAAGCACTAGGCAGTTTGGCATTGATGGAGAAGCTCTTTACATGCTACTGTTACAGAAATACAAAACAGACTTACAAGCACTTCCTTCACCCGAATGATCTGATCTTCCATGAATCCAGTCACACCAGGTTTAAACAAACCTATCTAAAGTAGTACATCTTAGGCTTCAAATTGCACTGTAACTGTTTCAGAAGAAACTAATTAATATCCACAAAACCTAGGAAAGATTTATCAACTGGCCAAATGACATAAAATTGATGCACAAAGCTGCTTATTTTAAAACTCTGTCCCTCAACAACTTCTTCAGTGTAAATCAGAGCTGTTCCTTCAAAGAGCTCTTTAGTCCCATCTGCACAATCTTGTCTATTTTGATGGGAAGAAGGATGGTAACTCAAATTCTGCTCATTTGCTAATTTAACAGGTCTAATATTTTAATACTTCCTGGTCCATTTTTCATTTGCTGGATTTTTGCATTATGTTTTAAAAAGGGGTTCATTACACTTGTGAACACAGAACTTGTGCATGCTAGTGTGATTTACACTTTCTAAGTACATAGCCAGCATAGTTATTTATGTAGGATTTAAAGGAACAGTAAATGTGCATCAAAACTGTGACTATTATCTGCATAGGTATGCAGTGGTCTTTTTTTTTTTTTCTCCCAAGTGAAATGTCTGCAACTACATTTAGCATATTAAGCACTGAACAAAATTGTTATATTTGCGGTATCATCTTTAAATAGCTGCAGTTATGAGATGACCTGAGTATGCAACTGATCTATGGAAGCTATGTATATGCAAGTCAGTGAGAACTGCTCATGTGTAACAGACCAATATTCAGACCCAGAGACTGTTCACGATGACACTTATTTTGAAGTTACTGAATCTAACTCTGTAAAAGAGCTACAAGGTCAACTTGTTTTCTAAGTTGACATGACACTGGTATTCAGGTCACTGCAGTTTTTTGCATATTTATATTGTATGTACTCAAACGCAAGCAATGTACTCCAGGAACACATGAGAAACCTCATGGAAGTTTCTGACCAGTTTCCATTTGCAATTGCCTTTCCCCCCCACTTTCATCTTTTATTATAATTTCAAAGGAACCATAAACTGCTGCATATCAGGACAGACCAGGTATCAAAAAATCCCCTGTTTTACATGCCAGCCTAAGCTGCTAGTCAAAAAGGGAGAATGTATCTGCTGCTGTAAACTTCTGTGTAACAGATACCATGCCTGACAAATCATCACCTTCAACGGACACACAAAACACCACTATGACAAAAGGGAGGAAATCATGCACAGATATTTCAGTATTATGTGGCCAGGGTCTATAATACAGTGATGAGCCACATCAGAGCAAGTTTGTACCAAGAGTGATTAATGATTCAGGCTGACTAACTCCTTAAGTAGCCAAGCAAGCCTGTAAGAGGCAAGTGGCATACTTTCTTAAAGCAAGAATACTGAGTTCAAGAGGATAACGTGTTTTCCCTACCCCTGCACAAAAATCCTGTGGATAAACAGAACAATACTGGGGCAAGTGCTTTAAAATACAATTTTCCAATAAACCAACACTGCTGGGAATTCTGTGAAGAAAGGAGTTTTAAGAATGTGACTTACCTGAAGCACAAACTTTGGATATCAAAAAATGTACACTGTATACTAACACTGCTTTTTGGATACTTTTCTGTTTTAAAAAGTTTCAAACTTACTAACTTGTCTTATTTTGTTTAGGGCTGAGGCTGTTCAGCAAGGTCACATAATTTGAGACTGCTGAAATACTTCAGCAATCCTTTGGTCCCAGCAGCTGTAAAACAGCCAAGTAAAAAAGACCCTTCCCTACAAAAACAAAAGGGGGGAGGGGGGGGAATTGTTACCAGGAAAGTGTCTTCTAAACACCATCTGCTACGCACCAAAAAGGCAAATTTTTGTTACAAAATACACATTTTCATACAAAAGACATCTTGCAAAACCATCTAATTGCCCCTCCCTCTGCAGATTACAATGGTAAATGGGATCAGCTGGTTGGTCTTGAGATTTTTGTTTTAATGGGAAAAAAGTCAAAGGACACACAGCATCACAACAACTGGTCCTTTAAATGCCAAAGGATTATGACAGTCTTTGCTTCCACCAGTGTTTAAAAAAAGAGCAGAAGAGAAACAGAACCAGTCTTCATAAGCAGAAAGTGCAACAGAGTATCAGCTGCTGCATCCTCCTGAACTCCTCAATGTGCTACCAAACTGTCAATTATACAAATAGTTCAATTATGACAGTGTCATAAATTGTTAAAACAATGCAAATAGTGTGATCAGAAAGGTCCAGTCAACTGGTCCAATTCTTTCCCAGTAGTTGCCCAGAAAAATGTTAAGACAATCTAAATCTAGCCTTCAGCTTCCTCAATATGTCCCGATTGCTGGAGTATAGAGGTCGGTATTACTGTACTTGTTCCACGAGAGATCCTGTCTTGATCTGTGTTTGTAGACAAGGAAGCCATAGAAATGGGCTGTAACAAACTGGGTGTCATGCTGGAGGAGACAGTCAGACTGTGTGTAGTGCCCTTAAGTGTGAGATCCTGTGTGGGAAGAAGTGGCTTGAGGATGCTGACAAGACAGAAAGCAGAGCCACTTTTAGGAATGAAATTCACTTTGTTCTTGTCAGGGCAGTAGAAGGCTGGAATTTCATGCAACGGCTTTGGCCTAGAAATAAAATACAGTATTTTAAAATTACATTGAACAATCGAATTCCATCAGTGGCAGGTATGTATTGCCAAATACGTCGCCAGAGACAAGCTGAGGTTTAAACTTGAAGTATTTAAACTACTCACTAATGCCTTGATGACACTCCCACCACACAATGGCAAGGTGGTTTAAACTGCTTGTTTACAGGCTGTCTCCAAACCCAGGGAAGACACTAGCTTCACATCGCAATCACAAACCCTGACCATGAATTGGCACATGCAATACATGAGAGGTTATTCTCAATCACATTCTCCAGAAACTTTCACAACCCAACAAGTTCTGCCCCACACACAGATACTCTTTATACAGCAAGCCTTGTGAAAGAAAGCTGGCATAGCAACGCTCCTAGTAGTGCGTATCTCAGAGCTGTTCATGATCACAGAGGGATCCCCTTTTCTAGACTTTTGCCTCTTTTGCACATGCACCTGAGTGTGACCTGAATCTCTGTAAGATGAGCCCATCATACTTAAAAACTCAATGCAGACAGTAAAACGTAGTATGCCCAAAGTAGCATTCATGATCACATACCTATAACTGGGAAATAAGTGTGGAACACACATTTAGAACCTGACTTGCAGCTTTTCCATCTCAGCCTATAATTCAACCAACTCAGAGTCATGCTTTATAGAAGACAGAGCTGGAAGGGAAATTGTGGATAGCACAGGAATGCTTTCTGTGTCTATCTCTACTCCTGCAATGTAGATCTAAGCTAGTCTATCTCCACTTTAAGATCAAACTATGGGAATCTGTTCCAAAGCCACTCTTTCCTGCTGGAAAATAGCCATCAGAAATTTATACTCAGTTTTTCTTGTTAACAGAATTGTCCTTTAGCCTATAACCTCCCCCTCTCTTCCATGTGTTTGTAAGACAGTCATATGCATCTCTATCTTCATTCTAGTAGGCCAAGCAAGCCAATCTGCCAGTCTACTCTTCTAGGAGATACTCTACTCTGAAAAGTAATTCTGTTCATGACATACAGTACATTTCCATGCTAGCTGATTCTTCAAGTATCCAGAAAATTCAGCCCCATTTATAATTTTTTTCCCAGATGAGAATCCTGTAAACTTCAAATAGAAATAATGTTAAACAAAGGTTGAGCTTTAAGTAGTTACACTTATGTATTCCAGGTACATGCAAGTACCAGGTGTGAGAACGATTTTTGCATGAGACTGCAGTGTCCAACAACTGCCACAAGCAGGTAACAACTTCTGTAGCAGCCTGCTTCACTCTACAGCAAAACAGTCCTACAGCTATGTAGCAAGGACATCCAAAAAGAAATGCAAATGCAAGTCAAATCACAATAGATTATGTTCTTGGAGCAAGTTAAGACTATCTAATCTATTTGCAACACAGTTTACACACTTAAAATAGAGACAGGTAACTTAAGTTACTGTAACCCTTTCCACGTTGCTACGGAGAGGCCACAGGGACCTCTCAAAATCCATTTGCAGAGATCTGAGATGGAAAATACACAAAGGTAGCTATAATTTTTTTTAATTACTACTTATACTAGATGGCATTGCTGAGAATATGGCATAAGAGAATTATAACCAAATTATACTCTTTGTGTGATAAAATGAGGTTTTTTACTATAGGTTAAGATTCTTGCATCCAAGTGACATAAGGGTATAAAAACTCCACTGAAAATAATAATAAAAAACCCCACAAAATCCCCAGAATATTCCCAAATTACAAAAGTTGGCTTTTTCAGAATAACCAAACCATCAAATACTCAGGGTGAAATATACTCCTCTGTCACTAAACATTTCACAACTACATAGATGTAGCTGAAAAGAATATGGTCTTCAGAGTCTGAATTACTGGATGTGCCTGTCAAAGCTGTGACATGTATTAGCTGAGGCACCTGCATTACAGCTTCTTAGTACATCTCTCTGCACCTGATTATTTGCGTTCCTCCCTCACTATCTGCCAGTAAGAGACAGTCCTCTCAAGTTATGCTGGTTTAAGAAAAAAGTCTCTCAAGATTTTTACTTTAACACAAAATTCCAGCAATAAAACACGTATGTACCAGTATGCAGTCACACAAAACAACAGAGATCAGGCTGTTAGCATGGTTTTAGCAACTGGACTAATAATTTTGATCTGACACAAAATCAATAAAACAATGGGTAATGCTGAATGTTATTTCTTATGTAGTAAAGATCAACTTACAAGCTTTCCTCAAAGACTTTCACCTTTTCACAGCCCTCTGGAGGTTCACGCTTGAACATGTAGCTGTTGTTGGGTTTTGGTGAGGTAGCATATTTTGGCAAGGGAGAATTATTCCCATTCTCTGCAGGAACAGAGTATCTCATTACTTAAACACGTTACACTATAAAAAACCAGTAGCTATCTTTAAATGCCCCCCAAATAGAAACCCACTTCATTACCAATGTTATAAGATTAAGAAACATTTTCATTTGCCTCCAAGTCTTCATTTGCAAATAAGCTTTCTTATCTCGATCCCTTTCCTCCTTTCTATTTCTACTTGTATTATTTTCAGGCTCCTCTGCAATCTCTGTTCATTCCTGGACACTTTCAGTTTTTAACTGCAAACCTGAATCTATGCTCCTGTGCTGTCACCATCTAGCCAAAAGAAATGGGCGGAAGCCATATTCCTTAAAAACCAGAATAGGTTTATGTTGAATTGTAAAATTCTCCTAGTATCTCTCATATTATTTCCAATAAAAAGGAGTAATTAAAAAACCCCAAACAGTTAAAACTTTTATGGGTGCATGTAGGAAATGCTGTAATGTTGCCCATTTTGTCTGAGATCATAAAAAATACCTGACCCAAGCAACAGGACTAGCCTACTTTGCTGTTCCACCTGTCACTGTACACTCTTGCTTCTTCAACTTGCTTAAAGTACTTCAAGAATCTATTATTAAAAACCAAGCATATTCCTTAGTCACATCTATCCAGCTTCAATTACAGAGCACTAGATATGTGTGCACACAGTATTTGGAGCAATTTGGAAAAAACATATCACTTAAAAAAAATGTTCTACCATTTCTCCATGGATGTGGAAACAAAACCTCTCTTTACTACATGTTCATCCACATAGCAGTGAGTTTAGCATTGCTGAACTTTTAAAGTTACACAGTACCTTTATCTCTGGAATCAGCAAGAAGATCATCTGTAGAACATGGACTTTCCTCACTGCCTTCATTAGAGATGGTAAGAAATGAGGTTGGAGATACTGACTGGGAACGGCTGCTGTTGTTACTACCCCTGTCTGCTCCACCAGGCGTTTGAGTATCAATGCTGCGAGTACTACTACTACGCTGAACCAACGGAGGTGGTGCACGATGTCCATCTGGAATATCTTGAGGCTGTTAAAAATAGAAGGTGTCAGATGGCTGCTCTTGTCTGGTTAGCAATCTCTCTAAATCCAGTAATGCTGAGGGGTTTTTCAGGTTTTGTAAAACTGTTTGAAGTAGAACATTTTATTCATTACACAAGACTCCCAACAGACTATAAGTCAGGTTCAGAAATGAAGGACAACAATTTTCAAGAATTCACAGAATCACTGAGGTTGGAAGGGACCTCTTGAGATTACTTAGTCCAACGCCCCTGCTCAAGCACAGTCAGCCAGAGCAGTCTGTCCGGGACTGTGTCCAGTCAGGTTTTGAATATCTCCACAGTGATTCCACAACCTCCCAGGGCAACCTGCTCCAGTTTTGAGCACCCTCACACAGTTTAAAAAAAATGGAAAGAAAGAAGGAAGGAAAGAATTTTTCTTGTGTTCATATTGAATTTAATGGTTTTTAGTTTATGCCCATTGCCTCTTGCCCTGTCATTGGACACTACTGAGAAGAGTCCTGCTCCCTCTTTTTCATTCCTGCACATCAGATTATTTATACACACTGATAAGATCCCCCTGAGCTTTCTCTTCTCAAGGCTGAACAGTCCCCGCTCTCTTAGCCTTTCCTCATATGAAAGACATTCCAGTCCCTTAATCATCTTCGTGGCCTGTATTTCTGATACTTTATTACTAAATTTACCTCTAAAAGTACCTAAAAATAAAAATAAAGTTAAAAATGGGCAAGTTATGCTTCAACTGGGATGGGGGCAGTTCAGCAGAAGAAAAAGTTACTACAAAAACTCTCAAAACAGACCTTTTGTCTTTTCCCCTGCTTTACTTAGATTTCTGGTTTTTTTGGAAAACTAAATTGCATCACAGTAATCACAGAGAAAAAATGTTCAGATTCAAACTTTAACTCTTTCCTTCTTTTTGCTTTCAAGAGACTTTTCAACTACCTTTAATAAAGAATGCAAAATTAATTCCAGACAAATTTAATTCAAAGACTGTGAAAAATAAAGCTTATGACTTAAAAACCTCAAAGCAAAACCAAAATAATTATAGAAAGCAATCATGGTGGCAGATACATACAACAAGCTGTTCCTCTTTGTCTCCAGTCTCCTTAATTATTATCTCAATCTCCTGATTCAGCCCTTCCACACTGTTTCGGAATCGTGATCCTGTTGATTTGGTAATAGGTATCACAGGAATAAGAGCACTCTTTGGGATGGGAGCCTGAAGAACCAGAGACAGTGAGAAAGCAATGTAGATTTACTTACAAAACACAGTTACTATTTCTACTCAAAAGTAAACCTTTAAACAGAACACATCTACACCTCAGTATCAAGGACTTACATGAAACTATAGTGATTATGTTAAAAATGGATGTCATGACACTTAAAGTCACAGCAGAATTCCTGTGTAAAATTCCTAGAGTCTACGGCCTAGTGTGCTGTTATTGAAACATCTCCTCTACTGATTCAAGGACGGTAGCATTCTCACCTGGTCTTCAAGCAGTTTGTTTGTGGGTTTTATTTATTCTTCCTCTAAGTGACAAGACTGTGCATAGACAAACAGCAAAGCGTTGCAACTTTACATGTGAATTCTCAAAAAAACCCATGTAAAGTTAGTCTGGCAGAAAAAGTACGTTAGAAAAATGAATGTAGACAAGAGAATTCTAAGTTCAGATCATAATGCAGACTTATTCTCACAATCACAAAGCTCTAAGGCAACAAAACTTAAGAATGATATTGGTTTTGCTTTACCAAAACATTAGGAGAGCTATTTAAAAAAAAAAAAAAAAAGGACTTTTACAAGGACTACAAAAGCTTCTGTTCAGGAAATGCTTGTGACTGTTTATGTAAACAAAACCTAAACATTCTCATAATGTCCAAACTTGGAAAGATTTTTAAAAGTTTTGCTTGAAGATGAAAAAGAGAAAACAGAAACCACTGGAGAAGAGCACAAAAAAGTCTGCGAAAGGAACTAATTCTGTTCCAAACAAGGCCTTGGATCAACAATCCAGTAAACTAATATAGGTCAATATCCAGTTATAATACAGGTATATGAGAACAAGTTTAAGCACTAATAAAGACTGTTAATGCACCCAGTTATTAAATATGCATGCTTCTTTTAGTTTTAACTAGAAGAGTAAGCCATTTCCAAAATGTTAAACCAGAGTTTACCTGGTCTCTGTGAAGGGACTACTGAGGCAATTTCCTGACACATTTTCTCAGCCTTGTCAGGAATTCAACTCCTTGAGCTCAGAAATCTTTGTATGACCCTTTAGAGTTAAAAACTGCAAGTTTCCTTCACATTGGGCATGTAAAAAAATTTCAAAATATTCCAATCACTAGCTGCAAGTGCTTCCACACAGTCCTTCCCACAAATCCTGAAGGAACTGAGCAGCTGTCATAAATTCTAGTTTAGTAGTTCCCTAGAAAGGAATGAGAAAGCCTAGGAACTTTGCCCTTGATGCCTACAGTTAGAGATTTTCACTCTGACTTAGAAGGCAGCCTCTAAATGCCATTAATCTAAACCCTTCACTTACCCTTTTTGAAGCCTTTCGTAACTTCCCCCCTTCACAAGTAGCTCAGCACAGCTGGCATAAAATTTACCAAGAAAAATGGTTTGTTTTGTAACACAATGCTGGAAAAGCTACTTTGCCTCAGTTTATATTTTGTAGTCTGTTTCACAAGCCCAAAACCTAATTATTTGTTGTGCAATATTTTATTCACATATTCTAAAATTTGGCAGAATGCAAAAGACCTCCATATAACAAGCAAAATTTCATGAGCATAATAATAAAGTAATTATGATGTTTAAAAAATTATATACATAAGGGGGGGGGAGTATTTTTCAGAGTAGAAGCACCACCCTTCATTTTCAAAATTAAAAACCACTAAGGATTATCTATATTAAAGTGACAATAGCTTAGCGTTCAGAAACCTACAGATTTGTAGAATACCAAGCCAAACCTGTTAGACTGCATGTAATTCTCCAGTATACTGAAAGGCCTACACCAAAAGTTCCTCAATACACTTTTTTTTTTGTTAAAATGCCTCAATTACCCACAAGTACAGAACAAATCTTCAAACAAGTCTTACAAAGTTGGATAAAATACCCGCACTGAGTATTTTGACCTGCCTGCCTCCTCCCCCCTGCCCCGGTATGTCTCACCAATTTTTCATAAACTTTCTTACAAAGAAAAGGATTAGGTCATTTATTTGTCTTTCTTCTTTCACCATTTTGGACTGTTCTGACTTGAGCTACAGCAGTCACTAAGGTTAGCAGCATGCTACACTGCACCTGTACTTCAGTAAAACAGACCAAACTATAGGAATGTGTACTAGACAGCCTGTTTCAAATTCAAACTGTTCTTCTGCTATACAGAAGAAGAGGAGGAAACAGTTTCTGTTTTGACATTTAAAGGGTCTGAAGAAGTAATTCCTAAATTGTTAAACCAAAAAATGTAATTCTAAAAAAATTCCTACAAACAATACTTCTACTAGCACAGAACTCAAACTAATAACAAACTGAATTCAAGAGCAACTTACAGCCTGAAAATTCATGACTCCTAATTAAATGAACTACAGCAGGGATAAGTTAGGGTCTGAGACAAAAGATGCTACTGATTTTTATACAAAGCAGCAGTTAAGAAGAACAGTGCAGGAGAAATTCAAAACACTCTTCTACTTTCTTATTCCCAGTCTTGAAGTGTAACAGATTCACTCAGACACCTGACTTCTAGCTACGAAAGAACCTGGCTGCTCAGGACTGTATGTATGGTTCTGCCTTCCATTTTTTATTTCACCCTTTATCAGAATGGGTAAGTACCTGTAGAGCAGGACAAATGCTGATGCCACAACAGCTTCCCTCCCTGGCCTAAAATATTTCCAGAAGGATGGAACAACAGACAGGAAATAATTTTCATTAACTGGTATCAAAGTACAGTATTTATTAGAACAATGCTAGCTGCATTTCAGCAGTAATTGGGACTACGATTAGATTTGCAGAGAAGCTTCACAGCTGAAGTACTTTCTCAATTCACAACACTGACAGTTCCACAGTTTCTTTCAACTACACTAACTTGCAAGGTAATTGTGAGGAATTTGTTCTTTTTGTAACTTTTAAAAAAAAATTGTGTTTCTGTCATAAATATACATTCAGGAGATATCAGGGGGTGGGGGGAAGAGGAGTTTTCTTCTGAAAAAAATTACCAAACTTTCTTATTGATTTTCTTAAAGGTATTCAAGAAAAACAGACTTGAAAAATGGTATGTGTGTCTAAAAGCCTGTAATTTTTTCCACCTGCTACCAATTAAGCTAAAAATATTACCACTCTACGAACCTGACCTCATTAAGAGTCTTGAGATAAAACTACAACTGCACACAAAACATGTGATTGCCCAACCATCACAATTTTTGAAGTGATTACTACTTAAAAGTCTCAAGGCATGATAAATGGGGGGGGATCTTACAAAGGCTGAAGCCATCAAAAGTATAAACACTTTTAATAGAGTACATAAAAATCCCATTGAATAGCCTTTTGTCAGGTAAGCTCTCTCAGTCAGTTCATCATAGCATTAGACAAGTCTTATTGTCAAGACACAAAACGTGATCAGCAAACAGTACAATTTTTGAGTGTATAATTTTACCACCAGTTTGCTCCATGCCATATTCTACATGCAAATTTATAATTCTTACAGCAATGATAATGAAAAAGACCATCTATGGTTTCAGATTAAACTTATCTGTCATCCTTTTGTAGAGTTTGCAGAATGCACTTTAAGAGTCTTGCTTTAAGGAAGGATCTAACGATGTGAAATTCTTGGAAAGCGGGAGTCCAAAGCCAACGCAGCCAAGTAACAAAAAGATCCAGGGCCCCATACACTCAAGGAAGACCAAGGAAAGGGATCTGTTTCATAGAATTCACCTACAACTATAACATCTTCGCCAGTACGTGGTATTTCTACATTCCCTTAGACAAATCACAGCCTTGAAAGGAGTTAAAAACAGTATTAGCTACCCACTATGTCCAAAAAGAGCACAGTCTTACCTGACTATGGTTAATGGCTGTGTGGTTACCATGAAATGGAGACTGTCTGTCTTTATCGCGATGATGCCTGCTGCTGTGTTTGCTTCTCTGCAACTGTTGGCGCAACTTTGCAATCTAATAAAGGAAAAACTCACATTAGATTTCACTAGACATATTCAGGTACACGTATAGTTTCATCGATTTATTCCATCACTTAGTTAAAATTCTTTACTACCACAACATTCATAATTATTGCCAGAACTAAATTAGACTCAAGTTCTACCAGTTCAGCTAAAGCCCAGAAGATACCTCTGGAGGTTTACTGAAAGACCAAAGTTTGAAAGTAGTTTGATCACTTCTGTATTTCTTCCTTTAATGAAGGATATCACTTTCATTTGACACTTTCTTTCCCACACATTCAGATTAAAAATTTTAATAGTCCTGTATTATTAAATGGAATCAATACCAAATGAACAGCTATTTCTTTTTTTTTTTTACCAAGCCCACAATCTGTATAATAAAACAAAGCAGTACAATATTAATGCCTTCCTGAAAACTCACAGTAACAGTGCACACTAGTAAAAAATTTAATCCAAATGTATCTCAAATAATAGCATTTCTGACCTCCTTGAGTTGATCATTACTGCCCCATGATGCTGAACGTTTGTGTGAGCTTCTCTTCTTTTCCAAGTATTCTTCAGCCCAGGCACTTTCTGTCTGCAGCAAGAAGATTACAAGATTAATTTTAAAAAGGTAACTGCTACTTTCTGGCAGAGTATTTTGAGACAAATTAGAAGAGAGAACAGTGCTAAGACTTGCTAGATTCAGAACTGCGAGTGAAAAGCAGTCACTGACTAGAAGTCTTTCTGACAAGTATGAAAAACTGAAGTGACACTATGTAATTTGAAGGAAAAAAAAAAAAAGGCACAAAACCCCAACTTCCAGACCTACTCTAATACAGGCATGTGCTAGTTTCCCTTACAAATTATTGAGCATAAGGCAGTATTAACAGCCACATATACCACAAGCTGCTACAGTTCTGAAGTACCAGTCTGGCAGTGCTGAATTTGGGGGAGATTGTATATTTTATTTCCTGCACAGATGCTGACCTTGTAATTTCTGATACATTAGCAAGGGTAGCTTGGTGTAAACCTTGTGAAAGCCTGCACTAGTACATCTTCACAATCATGTTCTTTCTCAGAAAAATGGGAAAGAGGGAGGCAAGGCACATAAGCACCACTAGAGTGCAAAGCAGGGAATTAATTTATTAATGCCTCAAAGGGCTTCAGGTTCATAGGTGTCTCAGGCCAAGCAGAAAGCAAGTTAACATTTAATAAAGAAACTTGCACACATACTGTGGTGAAAAAGTTCTAAGAAATTCCAAGTATCATTAAGACAAACTGTATTCATTTAAGATAGCAAAATGCACAGGCAAGCCTGTGATAATACTGCATGCTCTATGGACAGTTTTTATTCCCACCTAACCATGTCCAGAATGGCCTTCAAAAGCAGTGACCTGTAAAGGCTCTAAGAGGAGGAATAGTAACATTTATCAGGAATTTCCATGCAGTCACAAGAAATGTACCTAATGAAGCAGGGGGAAGGATTTCTGGAAGAAGCTTACACACTGAAAGAGACAGTGAATTCCTTTAAATTCACTGTTGCCACAATGCAGTTCTTGTCACACAGTGGTGATCTAGCTAACTCACCCTTAGGAGTCATTGATATCTCACTTTCTCCTACAGACAGGAACTTGATTGCCTCAAAGACTTCACGCCTACAGTGTGCAACAGTTGTTCTTCCATTTGGGACTAACAGCTTGCAAGCCACAAGCTGACCTTACTTATCCCATCCGTACTCAGAACGCAAACTCACAAGGCCTTCAATGATGTGGTATTAATCCCCATTTTGTAGGGAAAATGGAGGACTAACTCCAAACATACAGCTTGCAAGTCCCATTGGCTTCAGTTACAAATACAAGTTTCATAAAAATGAAACCTCCACTATCAGCAGTTTTTCCAACTTAATCATTCCAAATCAAAAACTGACTAGGGCAAATCTGAATAATAAAGTTAGTAGGGCTGCTTTGGAATTCCTATTTCATAGCAAAATCAGAATCCATCAGTATCTATTTTTCTAGAAAGGCACTCACTTATCTTCATAATAAAACAGAATAATTGATAACCCCCATTCCCATGTATCAGTCTTTGCCTAGTCAGTTCTCAAATGTCAATCTGGAGTCTCATCCTATCGTCTAGCTCCTGGAACAGTAAATTTTAGCCACTAGTTCTAACTTCCAAACTCAGCACAACCACTACACTTGCCTACAGGAATCTAATTAACACTCTAATCAGTCCTTGCATTTAATTCACATTTGAGACTTTCACTTAAGATTCAAGACCTATTTCATAAATTAATATGTGATTCATTTTAAAGGATTAAAGGTTGCTTTGATGCTTACCCTCAAAACAAATAGTTAGAAATCTTTTTAGAGCAAGAGTAGGTATAAAACATTAAATCATAGGAAACCTTTACACCAGGACAGAAATGTAACATTATTTTAGCAGGTCTCCTCCTACTTGTTCCCCGTATTTTGTTTGTAATGCTTATTTCCAAAAAACACAGACCCCATAACCAATGGACAAAGAAGGATTTCTATTTCTCTAGGTTCTTAAAAGTACCACTACTTGCTGCTTATCAGCTGTTACCATTTGCAATATCCTTCTGCCTGTTCTAGAATTACAAAGATAAATGAGTTTAAGGCTAAATTTATCACAGATAGTGGAACACTTAAGAAAAAAGTCTCAGAGGGAAAAAATTTCGCAGTTGAAATTCTTTAAGAATTAAAAAATATAAAGCAATTGTCTCATTTTAACTTGCATTTTGACAAAGCTATATTTCAAACAACCGCAGGCAAAGCCAAACAGGTTTGATTCAAAGGGAAAAAGGCACAAGATTACAAATACCTGTTTTAGCAGCACTTAAAACAATATCTACATGTATGAATTCTAGGCAGACCCTAGGAAGCTCAATAATATACTTACTCATCATCCAACAAACATTCTGCTTGTACATAATTCAGTCTGGTTTTATAGACAGTTTTCATCAAAATAATCAGTCAAAGCAGGAGCCTGATATATAGTCAGTTTCTGCATGACCTGGGATCTCTTACACAGTTCTCAGCTATGACCTATGGGCACCTCTATAATAGCTTAGTGTGTCATATACACATAGACATAGCTAGAGTGTGTCACTAATTGCTGTCTCTTCCCAGTCCACTTCCTGAATGACTCTACTCCCTAGGCCATAAACCTGCAGAATTAAGATATCCTGCTAACTCAACTTGAAAATGTTTTGTATCAACAGATACAATTCCTATTCCCTAAACTTTTGAAATCTGAACACATCCATTTCATGTCAGACTTTGTGAAATCTGAAATTACACCCTGGAGCCAGAATACCTCAAGTGAAACTATCCAAACACCACATCTTCAGAAACGCTAAACAATACAAATGGAGAGCCTATAATATCTTGGGAAACTAACTATTGGAAATCACATTTTAAACTCGTCCCTAGCTCAAATGATTGCTCTCAAGCACACCAGAAAGATTAAAAGCAATGATGTCTCATCACTGTCATATCAATACAAGCTTTGGACATACAGATATACATCTGTATCCCAAAATTTTCTACTGCTTTGGTAAGTTTTAAATTAGGAAGTGCAAACAGATCATTCTATTTCCCTCAGCAGTATACCAACATCAATCACCACTAAATATACTAGTTCTGCAGAAATATCCAATGACCTTTTACAGTCTTCCTATTAACCTTTGTAAATATGCTTCCCCTTGTATATGAAAGCCCCACTACTGTAGCAGCTAGATGTGTCAGAATTGGAAGAAGACAACAAAAGAAGAATGTAAGCCAAAAAGGGTCATGTCAGACCTAGCTGGAAAATAGAGAGATTATAAAAGCCCAACCATGACTCAGATTAAACCAAAATTAAGTAGAAAGAGATCAAAAGAACATAGCAAATACTTTGGCAGTAGTATAGAAATATAATTATTTTTTTAAAAAAGTATTATCCTATGAAATCAAATATGAAAATAAATAGCTAAGGCACCCACATTGGTTTAGTTCTGTCCTTTAACGATGCCTTTTAAAAGCTAAGCATGAACAGTAATTCCTTGTATTTATACACCTGCCTTCATCTTCCTCCTCTTACTATGATTTACTTACCTTTTCCACTCCATCTTCTAATAATTTTTCCAATTAGTTTTCTTGCAGACAAAACTTGTTCCTCAGCTCTCCTTTCTTCACTGGTTTCTAATTCCACCTTATCCACATGGGCATATTCCCCTGCAAAACACCTTACTTTTCTACTGATCTGCTCTTCAAATTGTGGCCCTTTCTGCAAAATGTTGTGCATCTTGAGAAGGCCATACAGTAACAACCAACACTGCAGACATAATCTGCTCAACACCCTACACATTTGAGTAGACAGGACACTGAACCTCTGTGGCCACATTTTTGTTATTATTACCAAACCTAAGGCAGGCTCAAACTCAAGTACGTCCCACATGCCATCAGTTTCTATTCCAACTGCATTTTGCTTATGTTCTTATTACGGAATTGGTGGAGACCTATTGTTGAAACCACGCTCTAGGAATAGGGATTTAAAACCTGATATGCTTGTCTTTCTTCCACACTACAAGATGGAGAAATGCACTGCCAGACTGCATCCACGGAGGGATAAATTAAACACTTGGATATTTTATGGAAAAATCCACCTTGAGTAACTTCTGCATACAGCAGGATACCATGTAACAACAGGTCCCTTTAAGGAGAATAATAAAACAACTGTCTTAAGTGTATAATCTTGTAAGACTAGTTTCATTCAATTGTTTGTTGGTTCTGTCTTTACAGGTGGCATAGGACTGAACCATTAAAACCTTGTGAAATTTTGTCAATTTGTTGAAGTTTATTGGCAAATCATGTACTTTTTAAAATACTTTCCAGTTGACCTAAATTTGAACATCATTCACAGTTCAATGAGGCAGCTCTTCAATGTATATAATTCTATACTTGGTGCATAGATTTCAGGTGAACTAAGGCCTTTTACAGAGGATGAACAGCGTATCCTTGAAAAGGCTAGTGTAACTTTTATGCAGGCACAACAGAAGCTTTTTTTTTATTCCGTTTTAAGACAAACATATGTATAAGGACTCACTAAGTTCTCTTGTTAAATTTAAACTAAATAGTACTTAACACCAGTGCAATCTAGTGTACACTGTAAGAACAATGAGAAAACAGATGTGCAATATACCAGTGTTTTTCAGAGGCAAAAAGAAAGTGGAACTCTTAACAGATATAATAGTTCACAGCCTTTTCTTAGAGAAGAATGCAAATAATCCACATACGTAAGAGCAAATGTAGGATTCTTGCAATTTGAAAGTGAATAGGCACTTGCAAGCAAGAAAGCTAAAGTGATTGTTTTCAAGGGAACAGCTTCTTACATTTGAACCCTGTCTTCACATTTAAATACTCCAAAGACAAAAATCTGTCCTACCTGTGTGGCTTTGTCTCTCATACATGGAGCAGCTTGTCCATGATTATCACGAGGCCACTGTCCAGCAAGGTATGGAGCAGCAAGCGTATCCAATGAGGAAGTCCGGCGAATAATACTGGAAGGGCTCGATGAAGGTGGTCTTGATTTCTCAGCTAGAATGAGAACACTTGATTAGAAAGAAAGGCAGAGAGCTTAATTATTTAATTGCCTACAAGAAATCATATCAAATTGAAACTACTATGTTATTATGTATACAACAAGATACTTTTAATATAGGAATTAAGTTTGTCTAACCCTTAGATCCAGATGTCAACTTTGATAAGGTAACGCTTTACATTTTACAAGATAATGGAGACACCTCCTCCCTTTACATGCTACTTTGTAACTACATTCATATTTGTCTGACACTACACCTTCTGCAACACCTCATTTTTAGTGTTTGTATTGGTAACACTTTTCAGAACAATTTAGATACTAACAGGAACCGATATTGAAAAAGGTTAAATATAAGAAACACAGGAAGTAACATGAGAAGGAAGAATATGGTTTAAAAAAAAAAAAATTTCCATCTATCCCATCTGCCAATGGTATCTTAAGTAAAGTGGCAGTAAAAGACTACACCACAACCTAGTAAGTGTAAACACTGTGAAGAAAGGTTCTTCAAAATAGTAATTGATGTTTGTTAAATTAAAGAGACTGACAAGCAGGAAAGACCCAGGGTTTAGATATACATATATACTCAAACTATTTGTTACTAGCTATTCTAGATGTAAAATGCAAATCCAGAGCTCACAATGATCTAAGCTTACTATCAATTCATCTACTCCCCACAGAATTACACCTGAAAGAATCATGTATTAATTTTACCTATAATAAATACAAAAGCCTAAAACAAATGGCTAGAACACAGCACACAAGATAGAGAGATCAGATGGAAGCTTTATAAGGGCACTGGAAAAACTCAGTCATATGTCCTTCCTGTCTGTGCCTTAGGATGAATTCTGCACTCATGGTATAAATAACAGCAATTTGTATTCTACATAAACTCACTTATGGGCAAATGAAATTGTGCCTGATTAGTGTCTGACTACTAGCTGGAAAACAAAACCACTGAAATCTGGACTTCTGATGGCAATTTCTAAGCTGTTTCAATCCACCAAAGATACATAAATATTAATAAAACCTTGCAGGTATAGATTTCAGTGGTGTGGCCAACATCTTAGCCTCATAGAACACCAGCCTTTCAAATGCAAGTCTGGTGACATTCTATACTAAATATCCTCATGCAAATTTTGCATTAGAAATGTACACATTGAAAGTGTGGAAAATATTTCAATTCAACTATAAGGGAATAATTATTAGCACTATAATCATCCAGAAACCTCAGCTAGTTTATTATTTCTACTAGTACCAACAATGATAAAATCTTAGTACTGAGCTCACCGCAGATCTGCTCTCGGGAAGTAGCAGCAAATTTCAATTTTGGGGTTACCATGCACTTAAGACCTCTGTATCAAAGACGTTCTCTGACTGCTACGACTACTACCATACAGCATACTGAAAGGTCTGTTTATATCAGAAGATTCCAAAATGATTCCTTCTGTCTGTACCATTGGAGACTGTTGCATGCTAATGCAACATGTCATTCCTTAAAAATTACATTTTGTTCCAAAGTTATATCAAACATGTTATTTGTCTCAGAAATAGCTGCCATACTCTCCCAATTTATTTTTCTTCTGAATTATTATTCTTCCTCTTCAAGAAGCTTTTCTCTTTTTACCAAAGGGAAACAGAAAGAATGTGAAAAAAATTAAAAATCAGTAAGTGTATCTAGTCAGTCACATTATCTGCAAAGCCACTGCAGCAGACAGCTTCAAAACTGAAGCAGCAGAAACTCTTACCCTCTCCCCTCCCCCCACAAAAAAAGTGGAAAGAATATTTTCCTGAGCAAACAGAGTGAAAACTGAAGAGCCTGTTTACTATTTAAATTCAAGGGAAACTGCTCATTTCAAGGCACAAAGCTTGTAAGTATTCTTTTCCTCCGATTTAAAAATTCCTTCAAGAAATTCTGTTTTCAAATTACTTTTGTTTAGACGGGGCAACAATGTTTGGATAGGTTTTTACTTACTTTCCACCTTCACAACATGTCTTAATACAAATTGCCAAAGTCTACCACACAATTCCACTTACTGTTTCAAAACATTTCAAGGGGAACATATACAATGTTTTCATTGCACTTTCCTCTACAATACTTGAAGCAAGTGTTCAGCTGCTATTTTTCCTTGATGTGACCTACATAACAAGAGATCTGCCTCCATAGAGATAACAGTTACAACAGCTGTGGCTGATGAAAAACAATGGAGCTGTTTCATCAAATAGACGCTTCTTAAATACTATATCTGTTTTAATTGGCCTGATTATCTCTTTAAACCAGTATTTGTGATAAATATCAACCTTCCTATCCATCCCCCACTACTCTAAATCTATTTAGAAACAAAAGTCTTTCCACAATCTGGCTTCAAACAAAGCAAAATAATAGGACAAAACATAAACAGAACATACACCACACAAATCAACAAAGTCCATAATATGGGAAAATAACAAGCTAGTTACCATGTCTTCACAAGCCATTGCACTACAGCTGACTGACTGAAGTTCCTACAGGTAAACTGGTATCACACACATCTATTGCAATTGTGAAGTCAGGCATCTCTGAAGGTGATTTAAGCTAAAGCAGTCTTAACAATGTCGCTGAAGAGCAAAACTAAAAAAAATATAGGTGCTTAACAATAACTAACTAAAAGTTAGGAAAAAGAGCACTGACTTGGGGGG